ATCTTCCTTTTTTCCTTTCCTTTTGTCATTAAGCTTAAAAAGCATCTACATTAGCTGACATCAACATCACTAAATAACACAATTATTCGCGTTTTTAAAAATGGAAAAGAAATATACTAAAGTAAAAGGTAACCAGAATCTGCTAACTAAGATCAAAATAGTGCTACAAAAGTAAAGAAACAGATATTACCTTTACAGTTTCTTTATATCAAATTTAATCATGGTTATCAATTATTTTTCAGTGAATGAAGATATGCCCGAAAAAAGTAAGTCAAAGTTAATTTAATTTTTATATCACAATACAGATTTTTGTTTAAAAGGATCATCGATGATTCCGAAAACTTTGCCAAGTTTGTTTTATGAATTATGGTAATCTAAGGGTCTCTCTAATAACTATTGTTCTGCACTGGCAAGCGACTGACTAGCCTCGTGTTCACGTAGAAACACAAAGCGTTTTCACATGTATGAGAGGCTAGTCAGTCGCTAGTCAGGGCAGAACAATAGTTATTCAAATTGGTCGCCATATTTCGATTCGGTGTATATATATATTTAAAGCCATTTCTTGAGACTGCACTATTTAACTCTTATTTTATTTGTTCTTTAGGATGTACCAACAGATACAAATCGAACATTTGCGGAAGCGTAAGTCTTTTCAATATCCCATTTGCACTAGAAAGTCACGTGACCTACGTCATTACACCAACCAGTCAGCGGTGCCAAAATGAAGAGATAAAAATAGCACCTCGATATTTGAAAAAAAAGCAAAGTTGGGCACTTTTAATTTCCGGAGTTCATTTAAGGGAATGGGGGGGGGGGGGGGGGGGGGTAGGGTCATGTGCAATACGCTGTAAGTGCCAATTGCGTACCCATAGCCAACGTTTCTCTTGGTCAGTACCGAGAAACGCTTTTCGGTACTGACCAAGATGAATGTGGGCTCTTGGGTAAGTGCAAGTCGTCCAATCTGAAGTGTTAAAGTATATCGTTGTCCTTATATTATTAATAGGTCTAAAATCAGTTGATGTATAAAAGTCTCTCTTTACTTGCTCCAAATGGTGGTCAAACACTGTCCACCATGTGCTGTCAACCCTGAGAAAGAATTCTTTTGAAACTTGCGATTTGGCTAATGAACGTTAAGGAGAGCACCATGGAAAGCACAGTGGCGGATCTAGGGGTAGGTTTTGGGGGTTGCAACCCCCCTATGAGAGCCATCGTGATTTTTTTTTCATGACAACACCAACAGCATCGCGAGTTTTATCAAAACAAGGGTGCCGAACACATTTCGCTCCCTTTTTTTTCTATACGCCGTGTGTGGAACCTGAAACAACCATGCTCGCCTGCAGTAAATAATCGTCTCCCTAACCCTTTGGTCTGCTATATCTCTCCACCACCTCAATCAATGCTACAACCCCCCCTTGGAAAAATTCCTGGATCCGCCCCTGAAGCAGATGATGTAATTTTATCATACAAATATAAAGAATCGCACATGATACAATAGATAGAACGACAATAGAATGCAATAGATTTTTTTTTCTTTGAATAACATTATGACCCTGAAGCGAGTGCTATGTAGATTCTTCCATGACTTCAAGCGAAACTCAGTAATAAACTAGAACGTTGTTTTATAACACCTACCATTTTAATTAATTGTATTGAAATACGTGAATAGGTTATTAGCCCAAGTGATTGCATGAGGAAGAAATCCCGGATGGGAAAATTTGCAAGGAGCTACTGTAAGCAACTCTGTGGCATGTGCTGAGGTATGCCAGTAAGGTAYGTGGAGTTATTTATTAAACATGTCTTGGGTAGAGAGGGGTAATGGTAAGTTAATTCAAGGTTAACATAGGCATTTTTTATGAACATGGTGCATTTTGGTCTAGCTTGGGTACAACGATCTTTTATCTTGAAAAGTGCTATAAAAGGATGTCACCTTAATAGCCTTCTTCATGGATAACATATAGATATTTTCTATGAACACGGTGCATTGTGGTCTAGCTTGGGTACAACGATCTTTTATCTTGAAAAGTGCTATAAAAGGATGTCACCTTAATAGCCTACTTCATGGATAACATATAGATATTTTCTATGAACACAGTGCATTGTGGTCTAGCTTGGGTACAACGATCTTTTATCTTGAAAAGTGCTATAAAAGGATGTCACCTTAATAGACCACTTCATGGGTAACATATAGATATTTTCTATGAACACGGTGCATTCTGGTCAAGCTTGGGTACAACGATCTTTTATCTTGAATAGCGTCATAAAAGCATGTTACCTTAATAGCCTACTTCATGGGTAACATATAGAAATTTTCTATGAACACGGTACATTGTGGTCAAGCTTGGGTACAATCATCCTTTGTCATTAAGTAGCGTTATAAAATGATGTCACCTTGCCAACTTCCAATGCATCGCTTGTCACGCACAAAGGTTTCAGTACGAGGCTACGTGCTAAATTAAATTGATTCTTTTCTCCTGTCACAAATCAATTTGTTTAGGAAGGAAGTATAGAATAATTAGCAATTATTCGCCGAAGGCGAAGTTAATATCGGGGAATATTTACCGAGACGCGAGTCTTCGAGCTGTACCAACTTGTGTACAGAGTAACTTATTTTTATATACAATAATTCAATAAAAACAAACAAACAGAAACTTTTAGTTTCCGTGACAAATTCACGCAAAACTTTTTGCAAAACTCTTAGCAAAACATTTAGGCCATACTTCGTTGTCTTTTTAGTATTGATAGGAATGGCATTTACTTTCATTTTTTCAATTTCCTCATCGGAAATTGTACCAAAACGATTGCCGGCAGATGCCATTTTGTTGGCGACTCAATATTCTGAGATTCACAGGTAAATATCGTACAATATTCACCTCCAATTAACCAATGAGCCGAGCGTTCTTAGGAAGTACACAAGTTGGTATATGCTAATGATAATTATTCACTTTCTTCCTACCTTATTAGCCTATAACATATATCATTAAAATAATATCATTTGTCTGAAAACTTTGCAGCTGACAGGACGAAGGACCATGCACCCTGAAGGACAAACCGGACCACTGAATTATGGAAAACAAAAATAAAAATATGATTCATGCACGATTGTATATTATAATGATTATAAATGAAATAAGTCAGAAAATAAAGCACAAAAGAACATAGTTTGTTGTTTTAATTTGGTGGACTCATTTTTGACAAGGAATATAGTAGTATAAGGATTGGGGGTACYAACTCAATCTCTACCCCTGTATTCGCTGTCTAAAGTGGCACCTTGCGGTGATCATTCGGGTCCCAAGGGGGTGTTTTCCTCTAACGTAAGATTTAAGTCTTATATATGAAGTGTGAAATTCAAAGGAAGGCTGGCGGGGGTTACCCGTGCCCCGTATTACTAAAAAGTCAAA